TTACCTGTGCCCACAGGTGCTTCATGGGATGAACGTTTCAAAAGCATAACTGAAAGTTATTGCTGCAGTTTGTAAACCCCTGTGCCTGGATGGGCTGAAATGGATGCATTTAAAAGGGAGGATTGGAGCATTCCTGGAGCTGTGCATGGAACGCTGCCCTCCCCCAAAAATTGTGCTCTGCGTGTGGCCGTGCAGGGAGGGCGGATTTGGGACTCAAGGCTAAAAAATAATTAGCTGGTTAAATGATTTTTGGGAAAAAGGATCCTGGGGGACGGTGATGAACTGTCTCCTCAAAGGACAGTGCTAATTAAGTGATGTGCAGCAGCCTGGCTGGGTGCTGGGAGCAAATGGACAAAGCTGTGTTAATCATCAGGGGCACAAGGATGCTTCTACCTCATTTCTACAGACCACAAAAAAACCCTGATAGAGCTTCTGCCTCTCTCCAGAGATCTTTAATTCCCACTGACTCCTCCCTGGACCCCCAGCATGGGGCTCCTCACACTGGTCACCTCAACCTGTGTTCTCCTTAAAGCACCAGCAGAACCTGCTCTGAGTTTTAATTATTTACTGAAACAGCTTGAAATTTTTTTATCCAAAACCCAAACACAGATTCAGGTGTCGTTGAGTTCAGTGAAAATTCCCTTTAGGAGTGACATTTGGTGATACTTCCATGTTGTCTAATTTGTGAAGGCTCTTTTCAAGCATTCCCTCCCATCCCTGTGCACACTCACACACATCTACACACAAACAACCTGTTTTTCTATTTTCTGAGCAGAAGCTCAACTGTATTTTTTAAATTTCTCTTTATACTGAGGATCTCAAGGAGGGTTTACACTCATGCTGGGCCATGAAACTTTACCAGACAGAGGCAGAGAACAAAGAGAAGATACTTTACCATCTTCAGAGATGATAAATCTGAAGAGTGCAGGACACTTGACAAAGACAATTTCCCCCACGCTTGCAGGTTTCCAGCATGTAATGTTGTCCCACATTCCTGGACAACCTAGAGGAGAGAAGGAGGGATAAGATACGTTAGTGGTGGAAATCCATTCCTTTCTTCACACTCTTATTGTGCTTTATAGTTGGTTCTTCCTTCTATACATAAAAAGGTGCTTGTTTATAATAATAAAATGTATCAATTTCCCTGGAATAAAATAGTGTTCATTCACAGGAATATCATAAAGTAAGTAGTAGCACAGTAATGGCCAGACTTAATGAAAGAGTCTCAAATGGGATCATCTTCTACCTCAGCAGGAAAAGGAAGGAAAATTGGATCTCAGCATCTCTGTTTATTTGCATTTGATGCTGAGATCAAACACACAATCTTCTCAACTGCTAAATGCCACCAGCTCCGGGGTTTTCGAAGTGGTTTGCCATTAATATGCTCTGTGTTTGTATATGTGCCAAGAGAAATAAGATTTCACTAAAAACTGCTTCCAAGTGTTACTTCCTGACTGGCACAAGTCCAGTAGAACCAGATCTGGGTGATGAACCTGTGAAAACATCACAAGTGTGGGCTCCCCCAGCTCTGCTGATAGCAGCAGATTTCCATCAGTGCAGGATGCATCTTCACAGGACTGGAACTGGCATCTTTGTTTTCCACCATCTTTGGTGGCAGGGAATCAAATCCTGTGTTTCCTCCCAAAAATATAAGCTCTGTGTTATGGGCAGAGCAGTCCTGAGGGATGTGGGGTTTGGAGAACGAGGTCGGTGCCAAACAACATTGTTGATGTGTAACATCGTGATAATAACGACATGTTACACTCTACAAGGGTGGCACATGCCAAAAAAGTGGATGAACACTCTTTCAAAGTAAAGGATGCAGTATCAGATTGCATAATATAAATTAATGATCATATAAAATCCTGACCCTGTTACACAAAATCCCTCGGTTTTGACAGACTCCCCCAAAATACATTATTACTAAAAAATAAAGCTCATTAAATCATGACAGGAGCTGGAAGAAAAAAGAGATCCTTTACATTTGCCCCTACTCCTCTCTTTTAACACCCTTACCCCAGATTGTTTCCTTTGCCAGATGAGGATCCCATGACATGAGTGCTGTGACTGAAAAGTTTGAAAGCTCTCAGGCACAGGGTGGGGTTATTGGGGTGTCCCGTGCAGGGCCAGGAGTTGCAATCCCTGATCCTTGTGGGTCCTTTCCAGCTCAGGATATTCCATGATTTTGTGATCCCCTTTATGTACTAAAGGTGGAAATCCAGATCACATGGAGTGATATTAGATTTTATTGTATTTTATGGTAGTTTGTGTCCGTCCACACGGTAGGAATGATGTTTTCCATGTAAATCTGAAGATGGTAGCAATAGGTTTACAGCTCTCTGATGCATGGCCCTCGGTGAAAAAGCAAATTATATGTAAATATCCATGTTAATGAGACATTTGCTTACAAGAGGTGCTAGAGACAATCAGAGCAGTTAATGAGATCTTTGGAGAACCACCTGTTAGCCTCACTTAAATTAACTTCCTTATTTCTAATTATTAAATCAACATCGTTTGTCTTCCAAACACTGGGATAGCAGTGGAGGCTGCAAACCAGCCCGGGGAAATGCGAGGAAATCCTCACCCTGCAGAACAGGGATAAACAGCTCATAGCAGAGTGTTTGAAACTCAGTTACACCAGGTGGCTGTTTGTGTAGCAACACCACGCAGAGATAAAAAATAGCCCCATTTAAAAAGTCATTATAAGTTCATTGTGCTCGAAAACACTGATGTGCTGACGCTGGGAAAGAAGCAGCAAGTCAAGTCATTTACCTTAGTTACTAAAATAGCCAAGTGATGGAGATTGCAAAGAATTCCCCACCAATAAATTGTCTGATCCTACTCGGAAAAGCAGATTGGAAAGGGGCAATTTAGACAAGCAAGGAGAAGGATGAGAAAAAAAAATTAAAATTAAAGGGAATGAAGGCCAGTGTGTACAATCTCCCTGCATTTGTAAACTGTCATAACAGCCAGCAACTCCTGCTGGGGGAAATCTGCCCACGGAAATCAATGTGACTCGAGTGTGAAACTGCCCAGCAGGGCCCCCTCTGGCATGGACAGGGCGTCTCCACTGCCCTGGGACATAGGGATGCCCGAGCAGGCTTTTTGGAAAGGGCAGCTCACACACTGCAAGCACAAAGGATCAGCTTCAGGTGAGCCATTTTCCTAATTTTCAGCATGTTAGAAATCAGTAATTAAAAGAAAAAAACAAACAAACAAACAACTTTGAAGAATAAGATTTTGTGTGGGCCGGAGTGAAAAAAAAATAATATTTACAAATAGCTAATGGATGGTCTTGGAAACAAAACAGAATCACAGAGTCAGTAAGGCTGGAAAAGCCCTCCAAGGTCATCAAGCCCAAACACTGACCCAGCACTGCCAAGGCCAACACTGAACCGTGTCCCCAGGTGCCCCATCCACATGTTTTTGGACACTTCCAGCGATGGAGATCCCACCACTTCCCTGGGCAGCCTGTTCCAGTGCCTGACCACCCTTTCAGTGAAGAAATTTATCATAACATCCCATCTAGCCTTCTCCTGGAGCAACTTCAGGCTGTTTCCAGGAAGCACAAATCCTGCCTTCCCTCCCCATACCTGCCCTGCAACCTGCAGGCTGGAATTCCAGTTTGGCAAACCTTGTGGGATTCACTTCAGGTAAAATAAGAGTACTAAAGCTTGGTGTAAGTAAGTAAGTACTTGTGTCCTCTTCATAGCATGAGCAGAAAATGCTTCAGCTTGGTTAGTTGCCTCCTCTTTGATGGCTGGATGATCCCCTGGGAGCCAATATTCCTCGCTGCCGACTTTTGAGGGAACATAACACGATCATTCAGCCACAGGATTAGTCCAGACTGGTTTGACTTCAGCTGGCTGAGCCTCACCCTTTTGCCCTGTTCAGCCAAGCAGAGTTTCATCTGTAGTTGATAGGAGAGAGACTTTCTAGACAGGGATAATCCCATTTTAAGGTGGCAGTCCAGGGGAATCAGCCTGGAAGGTGGAGTTGCCTCTCTGCACTGACTGCACTCAGCAGGAGGAGGTTAAGAACTGGATTAATGTATTTACAGCTGCCTTTTAAATGCTTGAAGTTTGTACTCTTTACAGGGTCTAGCTGGTGTTAGTAGACATGTGGCTGCTTATGAAAACCCCCATGATCAGTCCCTACATCATTATCTTGTAAAAGGGAGGTAAAATTCATGTTTAAATTGTGAGCTCCCTGTGACTGGATCCACTTTGCACTTTTACTTCAGAATTCCAGGCTGATCTCAGCTGAAGCACAAGGTGGATTTCACATGGATTTCACGTGAAGCCCACGACACTCAAGTTTAAATTCAGCATTGTTGGAGCTGAGGGAGGTGCCTCACATACCTAAGGATGGCTCTGACCTGGCAGCCACTGAAAAAGGACAGCTCTTTCCAAAAAAAGGTCACATTTTTTAACCAGGAGAAAACTTTTATGTCTTTCTTATTTATGATTGCAGAATTTTCTGATGCATTTTTAAAACTAAACCTAAAACACCAAAACCATTCTAATCACCCTGCCTCCATGGAGATCCACACAAACCTTGTTCCCATCTTTCATTTCCAATTAAGCCTCTAGGAGGAAAACATACTCTCTCTCTCTAACCTGCTACTCCTGGCAGCTGAAAGGCTCCCTCTTGCCTGAAGTTTTTGGACAAACACCAAGAGAAAAAAAAAAACAAACCAAAAAACCAAAAAAACTCAAAGCAAGCCATGCTGGCAGAAGAGCAGTGATAAACAGCTCTGCTGAAATTGCTTGTGGTGCTTATCTTCCTTTTCTCCTCTGTCTGGGGCTGTCTTGAGAGTCACAGTTTGATAGTGGGCAGATAAAAACCCCCAGATTTTAGGCAACCCCATAGTTGAAGTTCACTGAGTTCAAGGAATGGACCTTGAGGATAAAGCCTGTTATCTTCCACCAACAGAGTCACTGTGCCACCAGGACTGTGTTCAAACTCTTATTTTTTTACAGATTTGTGCCCTGTTTTCTTATGGTGCCTCCACCACCTTACCCTCATTTACACTCTGTATTTAAATCCTCTTTGCAGTCTCCACAACATCCTCCCAAATCTTCACCCTGCCCTGGTGAGAAATGCTTCCTCTCATTTCTTGTTGAATTTTTGGCAAGAGGAGAGGCAAAAGCAGAGATATGGGTTTTTTTTTTTTTGAATGGCAAGGCCATGTGTGGTAACTCATTCCCATGGGTAACTCCTACCTGACTCCTTCTCAGTGACAACTCCTGCTTTGACATCTTTTTTTACACTCAGCACAACATTTTCACAAAAAAGGGCAGTTAAAAAAAAAAAAGGAATGACAGGACAATGGACAAAGGCATTTATGGATTCATCCCCAGACAAAAGTGAGTAGACAAGAATTTGCATACAATTTGTTCCCTTGGCAAATCAAGGAAAAAATGTAGTTACATAAATGTGAGACTCCTGTATTTTTCATGTAGGGAAATAAAGGCTTGAGATGAAAATCCATCCTTCTGGCTTACAGCATTCGGTTTGATTTCCAGTTCCCCTGCTCATTTATTAGTTTAAAATATCACCTTCAAGGTCATATTGCCTTCAGGAGAGTCATATCAAAGGAAATGTAATGCTACAAGCCAGCAGATTAAACTGAATTATGTGGTGCACAGTAACTTTTAAAGGGCATCCTACATATAAAGCCTTTTAGGGAGAGGGGGATTAGGAGATGGGTGCTCTCTGTTGCTCCATAAATCCTGGGAAATACCAAAATAAATAAGGGCTTAAGCGTGGCCTGGACGTGGGGCTCGGATTTTCAAAAGCAATTAACATTTCAAAGTGCAGGTATCTCAGAGGAGTTCCTATTACAGGAATGGGGTTTCTGGAGGTGATTGGAGTCAGGCAGCAAACTTGGAACCCTGTCAGATGCAGCAATGTGTGTTCACAGCCCAGAGAGGCAAATTCTGGGCTGCACCAAATGCAGCGTGGGCAGCAGGGCAAGGGAGGGGATTTTAATCTAATTTT